AAAGACATTTTTGCCTTTGAAGTGGAAGAGATGCCAGGCGTCAGCCCGGATTTTGCTGTCCAAAAACTCGTCGTGGATCCTAAAAAGAAGCCCATTTGGCAAAATAAAAGGAGTCACGGCGAGGAAAGAAGTCAGGCGGCAGCTGCCGAAGTAAAAAAGCTGTTAGATGTTGGGTTCATTCGGCCATGTAATTTCCCCGACTGGGTGGCGAATGTTGTGCTTGTAAAAAAGTCGAATGGTACCTGGCGTATGTGTTTTGATTACACAGATCTCAACAAAGCATGTCCCAAGGACAGTTATCCGCTTCCTAAGATCGACAGTCTGGTCGATTCAACAGTCGGGCATGCCTTCATGAGTTTTATGGATGTCTACTCTAGCTTCCATCAGATACCCCTGTGGAAGAAAGATCAAGAAAAGACGGCCTTCGTCACTGATCAGGGGCTATTCTGTTACACGGTGATGTCGTTAGGCTTGAAAAATGCGCCGGCTACGTTCCAACGGATGATTAATACGGTCTTTATTAATCAAATTGGGAGGAATGTAGACGCATACATTGATGACATGATAGTCAAATCCAAACAGCATGCGGATCACCTTGCTGATCTCCGAGAAACCTTCACCACACTCATGCGACATAAGGTTATGTTAAACCCTAAGAAATGCGTCTTTGGTGTTCAGTCTGGGAAGTTTCTCGGATTCCTGATTGATCAAAGGGGGATAGAGGCTAACCTTGAGAAGATACAAGCGATGTTTGACATGAAGTCACCCCGTACTGTCAAGGAAGCACAGAGATTAACCGGTTGCTTGCCAGCCTTGGGGAGATTCCTCAGCCGGTCAGGTGAAAAATGCCTTTACTTCTTCCAAGCAATCAGGAAGAAGACCAGATTTGAATGGGGGGATGAGGCTGAGCGACCTTTCAACGGCTTAAAGAACACCTACACTCTTTGCCAAGGCTTGTTAGTCCACTGCCTAGAGAGGTGTTATATATGTACCTAGCCGTCTCAGATCATGCCCTCAGTGCTGTTCTCCTTGCTGAGAGAGACGGTGTTCAGCTTCCGGTCTATTTCATTAGCCATGTTCTAAAAAATGTTGAGCTCCGGTACCCCGTGGTAGAAAAATTTGGCCTTGCCCTATATATGGCTTTCAAGAAATTGAAACCTTATTTTCTGGCTCATCCGGTTGTAATCTACACCGACCAGCCCCTCAAGCGGCCAATGTCTACTTTGGAGTCATCCGGCAGAATGTTGAAATGGGCTATTGAAATGCAAAGTCTTGAAATCACTTTTGAACTTAGAAAGGCAGTGAAAGGTCAAGCGTTTGCCGACTTCATTGTTGAAATGACACGACCGGTGCAACCGGATAATATTGACCAGGTTTGAAAAGTATATGTAGACGGAAGCTCAACAAAGAACGGATGCGGTGCAGGAATTATATATGAGTCCCCTGAGGGAGACAAATTTGAATATGCACTGCGGTTTAAGTTTCAAGTCTCAAATAACGAGGCGGAATATGAAGCCCTGCTAGCCGGAATCCGCATGTGTAAGGCAGCAGGGGCAACTAAAATTGACGCCTATTCTGATTCACATTTGGTCGTCAGCCAGTACGAGGGAACATATGAGGCAACTCATCCGGCTATGATCAAATACCTTCAGGCATTCAAAGAAGAGACTGGGGAACTTGAGGAATTCCGTCTGAATCAATTGCCTAGGTCAGATAACAACCAGGCGGATGCGTTGTCTAAATTGGCTTCACCCGCCTGCTGTTATACTCCTCGGTCGGTCTTTTGGGAAGTTCTTGAAAAGAGAAGCATACATGAAGAGCCCATTGGAATCTTAGACCGAAACTTTACCTGGATGGATGGCATCCGGGCATATTTAGCAGACGGAAAGCTTCCTGATTCATCACAGGAGGAAGCCGTCATGAAAAAGCGAGCAGCAAATTTTGAGTTGAGAAATGGAGAACTCTTCAAGGCGGTTTCCTCAAACCTTTATTGAAGTGTGTTACCCCAGAGAAGGGGAAAGAAATTCTCGAAGAATTGCATGCTGGGTACTGCGCCTCTCATATAGGCGGTAGGTCCCTAGCCGTGAGAGCCAGGCGGCATTACTTCTGGCCTACTCTTGAAGCATACGCTAAAGAGTTAGTCTAAAGATGCGACAAGTGCCAAAGGTTTGGCCCACTGATTCGCCACCCGGCTACTGATCTGACGGCAATCCACAGCCCAGTCCCATTCGCCAAATGGGGCATGGATATCTTAGGTCCTTATATTCCTGCTCCAGGCGGAAAGCGCTACATTTTGGTGGCTGTGGATTATTTCACCAAATGGGTAGAAGCTGAGTCGGTTAAGAACATTAAGACAAAGGATGTTATCTCTTTCATCTGGAAGAACATCATCACCCGGTTTGGGGTACCTATGTCTATGGTGTTTGATAATGGCCCTCAGTTTGAGACCTCCCAGCTCAAGACTTGGTTGGGAGATCAGGGTATCTCACATTGTTTTGCATCAGTCGGCCGACCCCAAGAAAACGGCCAAGTTGAAGCCTTCAACAAACTCATCTCAGACGGCATAAAAAAGAAAATTGAAAGAGCCGGTGGGTTATGGGCAGAAGAATTAATTCATGTCCTGTGGGCCATCCGGACTACTGCTAAAGGGGCAACCGGAGAAACCCCATTTCTTATGGTATACGGTGCTGAAGCCGTCTTGCCCATCCAGCACTATGAGCCGACTCTCAGAGTTATGCTCTATGATGAAGAGGCAAATTGGGAGGCCATGCGGCTGGCATTGGACTCCCTCCCGGAACGCAGGGGCAACGCAGTCCTGCGACATGAGATATACTGTCTGAGAATGACCAGAACTTATAACAAGAAAGTGCACAAGCGTCCTTTGAAGGTGGTTGACTTTGTGTTACGAAAAATGGAGGCAACCGGTAGGGCCAATGAGGATGGGAAGCTAACCCCTAATTGGGAAGGCCCCTACCGGATCTATGAAGAAGTCAGGAACGACACTTTTCGTCTGGAAATCCCAGACGGTCGCCACCTGCCTAGAACTTGGAATGTAGACAATCTAAAAAAGTACTACTTCTGAGAATGTATAATTTTTGTAAACAATAAGTTAATTAATGAAAATTCAGGCTTTGTTTGCAGATTTATTTGGCCATTTTTATTGTTCATCCGCCTAGGCAATACCCAGACGGACCCTGTGTTTAACTTATTAAGTTTGATACTTGGTTTGGTTGAATATTACAACTGCTTGTCCGCCTGGGTAAAACTCAGACGGACTCTTTGTTTGAATAACTAAGTTTGATACTTAGCATAATCTAATAATTGTTGGTTTGTCTGGGTAAAGCTCAGACGAACTCTTTGTTTAATTAATTACGTTTGATAGTGTAATTTAATAAATTGCTTGTCCGCCTGGGTAATAATCAGACGGACTATTCGTTCAAACAACTAAGTTCGATATTTAGTGTAAATTCAATGTTGTAATAACGCTCGGCCAATGGTCCGATTAAAAACTAAGCACAAAAACTCTTAGTGGCTATACAACCGGTCTCCAACAAGACCAAAGGCCAATATGGTCGGATGGTTGCCTATTTTATAAAACCGCCTGTCCCAATATGGACATAGGCGTCCGGCGACACCCCTCCGGGTGCAATCGTCGCAGAGAACGAACTATTCGTCGGTTCTATGTACAAATGCAGATGGCGAAAATTGAACGACCACATTGGTCAATTCATAACCGTATGACCAGAATAATCTATGAAGAACGATTAAGTTACCGTGTACCGAATGCCCTGAGGCATCAGTCGGTCATCGGCTGAAGTTCTCACTTAGGTTATTTATTCCAAAGTTGCACTCACTCCCTATTGGGGCAAAAGATTTGTGTAATGGCTAAATTTTAACCCCAGACGGAATATAACCGCCTGGGTAAGAAGCTCAAAGCACCCGCTCCAATGGCCGGCTGTGCACTTGGTTTGGGGCAATCACTATTGTGATTGATTGGCCTAAAAACACTCCATACCTCTCCAGTATCAAGTGTTTTCAAGCCAATCAATCAATGTGAAATAAAACCAACCACACAGCCGCCCAGGGGCAAGAGCACCCGGATTGCAAATTGTCGCATGCTTTTTTAAGTTAGGCAAAAAATTAGAGAATTGCAAGCATACGCAAAAAATTTTAAATTGAAAAAACTCATAACACAAGCATATATAAACACCGACTGAGTCGGAATACTTCATTAATATTAATAATGGCACAAAGGCCAGAATAAGTGTTAACCGGACACATCCGGTGAAGAAGGAAAGAAATAAAATGTTAACCCAACTCCTTAGTTGGTAAAGATACAACAACACACGGCATACAAGCCGGTAAAGAAACAAAATGGCATAATGCCGCAAAAGTTTGGGGGGAGGCCCGCCTAAGGCTGAGGTGGATGCTCCGGCTGAGTTTGGCTAGTCTGGCCCTCGTTATGCTCATCCGCCGGCTCCTCAGTATCAGAGACTTCATATCCGTGCTCAGCAGCCCAATCCTTGAAGCGAGGCAGGAGAGCATCACCCAGTTGCTGGGCATCATACACCTCATTGGCGTAATCATACCTCATCTTTTGGACCTCAAAGTCTATTTCTGGGTAAAGAAGGCTCCATGTGATCTTCAGCCGAACCAAGTTGTCCCGCTCATTCTCCTCTGTCAGCCGTTTTTGCTCCTAGGCAAGCTCGCCCGACTGCTTGTTTCGCAGATTGACAAGTTCAATCCCCAGGCGGGTAACGTCTGCTCGGAGCTGGGCGTTCTCCTTATCAGCATCTTCTAATGCCTTGAGATCTGATTTGGCATCTTGCAGTTGCTTGTCAAGGTCATCAGCCCGGCTGTTAGCTTCATCGTTTGCAGCCATCAAACTCCGGATCAGCTCCTCCTGTTTCAACTCTACTGCTTTAATCTTTAAATTACACATATAATCAGAATATTCAGCAGAGTTGAGGTTTTCTAGGGTTGGCGTCATTTACCTGCTTCCGCCTGAAGGGGCCCCGGAGACTGTCCACTCTCAGCATCACCTAAGACAATAACAGTCGGTTTATGAGTTACTTAGTCAAATTAAAGATAAAAGATATCAAGGTAGAGGGATTTTTTACCTCAGCCAGTGGACCCATTATCCGGTCGAAGTCCACGACCTTCAGATCAGGTATGGAGTTCTTCTCAGACCGGGTGAGGGTCCTCACCATTCGTTTTGCAAAGCTTGCAAGATCCTGCTCGTGAGAAGTCAGATCTGCATCAAAAGTAGCACTCTGTGAGATAGAAGCAGCGTAGTCGGCACTCATCCGTTGCCGGCTGCTGACCGACCCTTTTGAAGGATCAACCTTGGTCTTGACTCTCATAAAATCCAAGGTATTTCAATTCGTTCCTTACCTTGGGCTTCCGGATGGGTCTCCGGCTTCTGCTCCTCCCCAGTGGTTGCCGCACCGCCTGCAACCTTAGGTGGCTCGCCACCCTTTGATGCCGTAGAGACATCCGGCGCTTTCTGTTGCGAGCGTTCTGAGCTTTCGCTAAGTTTTTTCAGCACAGCAGGGGATTTGCCCCCAGTCGTTGGACGACCGGATTGGGCAGATGTTTGTTTCTGGGGTGGAGGGGGGTCCTTCCTGGCGGCTTTCGCAGCCGGGGTCTTCTCCAGATCGTCTCCTTGCCTTTTGAGCAGCTTGGAGAAGGATCGTGGGATCTTCTTGACGGACTCCTGAGAAATAAGGGTAAGTACACCCAACCGGTAAAGTAAAAAAAAAAGAGAGAGAGAAAAAATGCAAACACATAAAGTCAGGCAGTCTTACCCCGCCTTTCTTGGAATCTTTAGCCTCGACGGCTGCCTTCTTGGCAAGTGCCGCCTCTTTGCGCAGCAGCGCCGCGGACTTAGCCGGTGTCTTCGCCTGGTTTACCATTCTCAAGGCTTCGTCTGCAAGAGCAAGAATTTATGGTTAGAAGAAGTTATGGAAAGTTTGCAACTAAAGTAAAATAACAATCATTCCGGATGAGAAGTATTCTACCCCTGGGAAACATGGTACTTAGCCCGCAGGCGGACAAGAAGCACTCGTCCTTGAAGAAGTCCGGATAGGGAATCCAGTTTTTGGGTACAATAATGTGAGTCCCATCCCCCATGGGATCAGTTGTTGTTTCAAAGAATCCCGGCTCCATTATTTGCTCCCGGGCTTTAGTAGATAGTGCCGGGAGAGGGCATTTGCGTCCAAGAAGAGCCGGCTCAGTATTGTACCGACGCAGTGTCCGGTTGTGTCTAAGGGTGGGGGAGGAAACCAAATAAAACTTGTCCTTCCACCCGGACCATTTGGACACTTTGTCCAGAGTCATCAAGTATTGGGGCAAGGTAGTCAGAGCATACCATGCCCCATGGCCGCCTGAAGCCTTGCTCAAATAGTGCATATGAGCGAAGGCGGAGAAGCTGGGGTTCAAGTTTTGAAACTCGCAGGCCGCGATGTAACTTAGGATATTCACCTACGAATTGGGGGTGAGCTGCCAAACCCCTAGATCGTACCCCTTAAGGATTTTCCTAATCCCGGGGTGGAGGGGGAACCGGAGGCCGACTTTGATAACCGCCTCGTAGCAGATGAAGTAATCATCTGCGTGCTCAATATCATCACTCCAAGCCATTACAGCGTCAGCCGGAGGGACGATAATATCCCAACCCCTTCCAAAGGGGTGCTTTTCCTTGAAGGCCCTGAATCCTCTATTTAGGAGGGCGATGTTACCCGGCAGCATCCGGGTCCTTTTGGAGTTGGGATTGTCAGCGACTTTGGGCGGCTGTTGTTAGTCAGCTGCAAAATTGTCCTGGTCAGAGCCGGAAGATTCAGCTCTTGATCCTTGGCCGGCCTCAGCATCGCCGGCTTCATTAGAGGAGGCGGCTCCCTCGCCGTCTACCTCTCGTACCCCAGAGCTCCCGGAGGTAGAGGGAGCCTCTTCGTCAGATTCGCTCTCCTCCCAATCCCTCTGTTCCCCTTCCGGGAAAACTTCATCGGCTAGCACTCTCATAGTGTGCGGCTCTTAGACCGTCTGGTCGTTTGTTTTGTTCTGGCCATTGTGTCCTGCACAGACACAAAGAGGGAGGAATTCGGAGATGAGCATATTGGTTCCGACAGTCCAGAAGAGGCACCCCCTGTTCTAGACTTAGCCGTTCAGGTGGATCGGCTGAGTGTCCTAGGCAGTGCCGAGTGAGTGGATTGGGAACTCATTTATATTCTCTAAAAAAGCTGGGTATACAGGCGGAAAAAATGGTATACAAATTGAAAGGGAGAAAAGCTAAAATGGTACAGGCGGTTACCTCGCTTTTACTCTGAAAAATCTGAAAACCGCTACAGCCGGGTGTTGAACTGCTCGCACTCGGGAACGTGAACTTGCTGTGACGCAGACGGGAGCAGAGAATCTCTCTCTAGAATTTCTATCTTTCTCTCTCTAAAAAGTCAATGTGAACGTAAGGTGTGAAAAGGGGGGGGGGTAACTTTCTATTTACAGAAAGTGAAAGTGGGGGGAAATTTTTTATTTGAAATTCAAAAATTTTACCCGTTACTGTTCACCTTTGATAGGTGGACACGTGTCACATGCCCCACGTGACATCCACGTGACCCATGTAAGGGGCAAATGTTTAGGGTAAAAATTACCCTAGACAGGTGTCCTAATAAGAGAAGGCCACGTGTAAAGATCAGAATGACCCAAGTGGCCCCCTAGCCATTTGACACGTGGCTCCTTCAGATAGATTCTGAAATGGCGGCCCTCAAGGGCCCAAATCCTAAGAGAACGCCGTAATTCGGCGCAGCCCACCACAATCTAGGTCAAGTGACCTAGATAAGGGCACAATTTCCAATGACCCTATAAATAGGGAGATATTTCCCCATTTTGGGGACACATTCAATCATTTATTACACTTGTATTCTCTTACATCAGAGAAAGACATGAGCTTGGAATCCGAGAAGATACCCACCTAAATTTCTGTTCTCTTTATTCCATTTCAAGTCACTAACTTGACCGTCGGAGGCGGAGCTCCAACCACCCGGAGTCTCCGTTATTTTGCAGGTACAGCTCAGCCGGATCAGACTTCGTGACGTAACTCTCCCAAGGGACAAAAACCCCCAAAACATGTACCTCATATGAATATATATATATATATATATATATATATATATATATATATATATATATATATATATATATATATATATATATATATAAACATAACCATTAATCAAATTATACAATACGGAGTACTCTTAAACCGAGAATAATTATATTTGGGATCCAGATAGTTTTTTTATAAATCCATAATAATGTAAAAAAAAAATAAAATAGAAATAACATATTATAATAATTATCTTCAGAAAAAAATACTCGTATTATAATTTAATAATTCAAGGTAAAAAAATAAGAAGGTTTAAAAAAATAAGTAATAATAAAAATAAGAATATGATGTCAACAATTGATTTAGGCGGGATATTTTTTTACCACAACTTGACATCTGTACAATTTAAATAGGGATTATGTCAGCGGTTGTTACTTTAGTTATACTTATAGATTATTACTATTATTAATATTATTATTATTATTATTATTATTATTGATGTTTCAACTATGTTTTTTTTCCTTTAAAAGAAATTTTTTGTTCACTTATTCAGTGTTTTTTTTTAATAGTCACTTATATATTCAGTGTTTAGTTGACTATAAATCTAACAAAATAAAATAACACTGCTTTTAGAAAATATAGCTCCTTCCGCTTTTTTAATATTTGTATTGTTTGAAATCTTCATATTGAGCAGGATTCTTTTTTAAAAAAAAATATTTTTTTCTTGTTATAAATATTTTTTTAATAAATATGAGAATACTCATGTGAAATGTTCTTAGGTTAGCCTTAATGTGTATTTACAAAATTTTATATTCTTATACAGTAATTTCTTATATTGACAAAAGAAAATATTAATGTTTAATTGTTTACGCATGTAGTAATGAATATCGTATGAAATAACAAATGATGTCATAATTTTCATTGAAAATTCTTAATAAGAGTTGTTATAATTGACTAACTGATGTGGACTGTGGTATGACCAATTTGACCACTTGAAGTCTTGAATAAAGGTTATTGTAAGAGTGAACACCAACTCATTTGTCTTTACTTTTTATTAGAAGTATAATCCTATACGGCTATACATATTTGAAATATTTTTATACTTTCGTCGCTACCGATTATGTGCAACAATTTGACATAAAATAGAGAGAGAATATGTCTAATCGTTGCACATAACCTGTAACGAAGATAGTAGAATGTGTTTAAGAATTACTCCAAAAAAATTGGAGTATATAGAAGTATTATACGTCAAGTCTAAACTAAACTCCCTCTATTATCTATTCTTTAAACGTGAGATACAATACTTGAATATAATTAGGTCTGTTTTTTCTCAAAACAAAGATCTAATTTATCAAAATTAAGAAATAGAGGAAATTTACTATTAAAAAGGGTTTGTTTGCTGGTGACTATATGTCGTGTGACCCAGCAAGATGGCACTCTACTTTTTGCCTCATAATGTATTTCAATTTTAATGGTTTGTTTTTTTGGTGTTTAGAGAGCCTCAAGGGCGACGGTGAGAATCGATCCTAGAATCTCATGGAACCGGAAGGAAAGTTCTAACCATTTGAACTATATCCCTCACTCTCAAGTCTCAATTTTAACGGTTTGTGATTGCCCCTCAATTAAAAAAATATATAAAAATATAAAAAATAAAATCAAAGCAGAAATAATAAACGGGAAAATACAAGTTAATCTGCCAGATAAATGAATTTTTGTTAATCTGATGGCATTTTTGTAACTATATTGCAAAAGCAGGGTCATTTTTTCAGAACTTTTGGTGAGCTGTCCAATTACTGTTTGTTGTTTGCTTTTCGCTTTTACTGTTTGGTGTGGATATTACACATGTACCCCTCAACTAGTATATAAAAAGACGCATATACCCCTCCACTGGTACTTAAAAAGACAATTATACCCCTAGATAAACAAATTTTGTTTATTTGGGGAATCGATTGGGTATCCCTCATAATAAACTTTATAATAGACTACGAATTGTTTTAATAAAAAAATAAATAAATTGCCAAGCACGCTTAATTATGGAGTATCTTAGAAAATGAGCTCCCTAAAAGAAAGATGCATCTTGTTGATATGAGTAGTATATCAAATCCTTTTGAAGCAATATGAGGGGTATTACATTATTTCCATTGTAAAATAAAAACATAATTTTATATATTAATGGAAAATTAGTAAATTATTGTAAGTTTTTTTTTTAAAAAAATGGAGGTGTTAATTATTGGGTGACTAAGTCGGTTATGAATTGGCCTTTATTTAGGTAGATTATGGGTTAGTTTTAAAATACTTCATAAAGTATATAAAATTTATTCAGAATTATTTCATTTGGGTATATATGAAATATAATTGTCAAACAGGAATGAAAATCATAAGGTATAAATAGTTTATTTATAGATTTTGAACAAAAAAAAAAGGCAAAAAAGATGGGAAAATTTATCACAAGGTAATGACAAGTGTTATGGATGGATTTGATTTTCGTATAGTTTAATAGATATGTACAACTTAAAAGAGTGATCATTGGGCAGGTCGGGGCGAGAAGAGCTTTGACCGGAAAGTATGTGTCCAAATCTGCCCTAGATGGCCGGACCGTGCGAGCTTTTTAGGTCATTTTTAAGTTGGGTCAATTAAACAACTAAATTACATAGAAACGCATTTGCAAGATCCAAGAAAAACCTAAATCGAGTCAGGCCGTGATGACTTTGATCAACTCTAGTACAAGAAATAGCATATTTTCACCGAAACTTATATATTTGCTACTATATAATAAATCCTTCATATATACGTGGACACCCTCCATCACTAAAAGTTACACTTCCTCTGTCCCAAATGATAGTCCTTTATGGTCAAATTTTAGTCCTAAAATGTTCACCCCATTTGCTTTTTCCAACAACTATTAATATTAATTTTGTACAAAAATTTCCTCTAATTTGCAATAATATTTGTGCAAATTTAACTTTCCACGTACTTTTATTACTTTCTCTCTCTACTTTTTTGCATAATCAATGTCAATTTACTTTTTCAATATACTTTTACTATTCTTACTTGTGTTAATTAATTCCTCTAAAAAAATGTCCATAAGAGACTATCAATAGGAACGGAGGGAGTATTAATCTCTTTTATGGAGTAAGAATCAATTAGTAAATCACCTTAATTTAGCTAAAAATTACCTTTTTTTTTTTTTTTTGTGGCAACTAAGAATTACCTTTAAGCTATTCGATTTAAACTAATATTGTACTCCATCCGTCCCTTTTTTACATTTCTGCTTTCCTTTTTGGGTATTTTAAAATTACATTCTTACTTTCCTTTTTTAGTAACTAAATTTTTACTAAATATCCCAAATTATCCCTATTTTCTGTTTTGTAATTAATACTTCCTTTATTTTATTTTTTTTTGGTGGTTTTTTAATTCTCACTCTTATTTTTTCACCTTTAAATCACTAGTAGAATAAATGTGATGGGAAGCGGTTATAGGCAAGCGGTTTACAAAATCCGCTTCCCATTTGATTAATAAAAAAAAAAGAGAGAAATGAAATTCGCGACATGTGGGCTTTTTTTGTGACATTTGATGGCATCTAGGTAGAATATATAATATATATGTGTTAGTTAGATAATGACTTGGATTGATTTTTTTTTTTTTTTTTTATGAACAATTAATATTTAGTTACCGTATCTTTTTTATTTATTTTATAGTACGTAAATCCATATGTACATTATATTACTTATTTGTAATTAGTACTATACATTATTTATGAGTTTTATATATGTTATTATTATTATGCATTTTATTGTTATTGAATTATTATTATTCAAAAATTTGTAATATTTTTAATTAATTATTATTAATTATTAATATTAATTAATATAATAATATTAATTAATAATAATATTATTAATTAATATAATAATATTAATTAATAATAATTTTTAAAAAACTGGATTAATGTGCTTATCAAAACAGGTCACTAATAATATTATTATTAATTATTATATATATTCAAATAAAAAAAAATTACAAATGGGAAGCGGTTTGGCGCCAAAACCGCTTGCCATTTGCACTGCACATAATGTTATGTGAAGTGCAAATGGCAAGCGGTTTTGGCGCCAAACCGCTTGCCATTCCCCCCAAATGGGAAGCGGTTCTGAACCACTTGCCATTTGCTTAACAATTGGCAAGCCCCTTAAACCCATGAGGTTCAAAACCGCTTCCCATTTGGGGGTTTGAATCGCTTCCCATAATGTTTTTTTCTACTAGTGAATGAATATGATTGATTTTTTTTTTTCCATCAAAAAATGTTATTGGTCCTTTTTATCTTCAAAGGATTGATGACATGTACATCATTAAATATTATTCTATTTTTGTTTTACTCAAAGACATCAATTAATGTCATGCAATTCCCATTGTCCTTAGTTTTATTGTTCTTTGTTTTATTCTAAGTTTCTTAATTCCCGTGTAATTTTACAATAGTAATGTAAAAAAGAAATAGACAAAGTATTATTATAAACCTTTTGCACCCCTGTACCCAACAGTTTTTGTTTTTTTTATTTTAAAACACTAATATTCCTATAATAATACAATTATAATACTCCGTAATAATTATAATTTTTATAAAATCTATTTTTTTTTTAAATAGTTATAAAATCTACTGTAATTTAGAAAAGACATATGACCAACCCACAAATACAAATAAGGTAAGAAATCAAGAAAAATAAAAAAGAAAGACAAGTCCAATAACAGAATTCATACCAGCTTTCATGGAAGCATCAGCCTGAGCAACATTCCTAGCCATAGAAGTGAGCAAAGCAATCCCATGTTCAGCAGCCGCAATTGTATTAGCCGTCGGTGCATTCACTACTAAACTCCCATGCTCCGTCGCTGCTTGAAGATCCACATTATCAATCCCAACCCCTGCTCTTCCCACCACCTTCAACCCCCCTTTCGCCGCCTCGAACACCGCTCTATTCACCTTCGTCCCACTCCTTACGATCAACGCGTCGTACTTTGATATATTCTTGCATAGATCCTCCGGGGTGAGGTCGTATATACAGTCCACCTCACCATACTCGCGTAGAACCGCGAGTCCTGCTTCTCCGAGTTTCTCGGAGACCAGGATCATGGGACGGGTTCGCTTTGTCCCATTGTTTAGAACTGAAGGCTCTTTAGGTTTCGTGGACACGGGGGATGTTGCATCTAGGGTGTTTGTGTTGAGGGCGTTTTTTGTTACTAGGTTATTATGCTTTGATTTTGTGTAGGAGAGCTTAAGAAATTTTTTTGAGGATGAATTATTGAGAAAAGAGAGATTATTAATATTGTTGTTTTCATGAAATAATGATTTTTTTGGTTGTTTTTGGTTTTTGAAAGATGTAAAGATTAATGAAGTTTTAGCAGATGTAGCCATTTTTTTTTTTTGGGGGCAAAAATGTTGATGATTGAATGAAGGAGGAAATGAAAGAAAAATATGAAGGGAAAAGAGGAAATTTCTGAAAAGTAAAAATGGGGTGAGAGGTGAGATTTAATTTGTTGTTAATTCACCAACTTTTGGGAGATCTAATTTTGGGGCTATATTTGAAGGATGGAGGTGGGGTCCACATGTATGATTAAAGAATGGTGGTGGCCTGGTGGGTAAAAACTCGATGGAGTGGGAATCTTCTAACTTTAATGAAAGGCATCATCCTCCTATAATTTAAGGTATGAATTGAAGTACTTCGTATCTAATGAAACTAGTGACTTAAAATTTGGATATATTCACTTGCCATGTCTAATGTTCTTGATATAGCGTTTTATTCACTTGAATTAAATTTATTTTCTTTGTATTTTAATAAGTGTTATATTATAATCGGTATATAATTTTAGACAATTAAATTGACTTATTCCACTTAGATAAAATAAGAGGTGAATGTGATAGTTCATTGCAGTATGAAAAATTGTAAATATATATATTGTTAGAGTAAATGGTTGATAATTGAAGTAATTAGCAAGAACAATTAAGAAATTTGATAGTAAAAAAAGAGACAAAAAATTGAAGGTGGGAAAATCCTTCTAGCAATTACTTGAATACTATAAAACTCACCCAAGAGCAAGGAGAATGTTTGTATTGATTATAATTAATGTTTACAAGAGTAATCTCTCACTAATTTCCACTCTAAAGCAAAAAGGTTTCAAGAATAAGAACCCTACCTCTAATTGTGTTTCACTCAATTTGGGGATAATGAACAAAATAACTCTTAATGGGTATTTATACCCCCAACGGATTTGAACAGGGTATCAGGTAGGCATGGACGTGCCAAATATGGCACGGACGTGCTAGCCAAGATAAATCATTCCAGTAGCTATTGCTCGTTTGGAACTGGAGCTGCACGGACATGCCAAATTTGACACGGACGTGCATCTCTTGTTCGGGTCAACACAGATAGCTTGTAGTAAAACAACTATAATTTCCTCGTTTCTCATCGAAATCAAGCTTATGATCTATCATTGGAAAGCTCTTGAAACAAGCTTTAACCTCCAACTCGAATCACATCAAAAATCCAAGTAGATTGAGAGATATACCAAGTTGAAATTGACCCATCTAATGCTTCCTTACTTAACACAGGTAATTCATACCCTTAGCTTATATGTATATATACCGGTACCTTTCATAGGTTTCGCCAGCCAGCTCCGCAGGTCATCACTTGAGAGTAGAGGGGGGAGGTAAGGGAATCCCCCTACTCCCAAGCCTTTTATAGTTGGTGGGGCTCGAACTCGTAACCTCAAAGTCACAAGATGGGTTCCCCAAAGTGTAGTAGTAGGTTTGGATGAGAACCATAAAAAAAAAAGATATAATAATATTAAAATGTAGGGTTTTTTTGTATATAAAAAAAAGTGTAACACTTATTAAAACATTGTTGCATTTGATAAGTGTAACACTTATTAAACATGATGGAATATTTTATATGGATGCATGTGATCTTATCTTATTTATTTAAACTTATAATATTGAATTCGCCTTAAAACTATATATATTATGTGAGATGTTCTTAGATTCATCTTAAAACGAAATTTTAAAATATAAATTTTTAAAATTTATCTCAAGTTATAGTGAATATATACGTGGTTAAAGATGAACATTGTAGACCGTAAAGGTCAAACCGTAACTATAAAACAGACAATGGAGTACTATGTACTAAAGATATCTATACATGCAACTGAAATAAATGGATATAATAGCATTTATTTAAATCTTTTTATATGATCTAATTTGTTAGACTTTATGAGAAAAGTAATTATTTTCCAAAATAAGATAAATAACAAAAGTTCTACTATTCTAAGACAAAATTATAATATTGAAAAAAAAAGAAAAAAAATTATAACAATGGCTTAAAAAAAAAGAAAAGAAAAAAAAATAATGCCATAAATGTTGGAAAATTGAATATGGAAGTCAAATATGATTTAGGTCGTGTTCTTTTCACCAAAAATAAGATTTATTACACAAATATTTCACTTCAATAAAAATAAGTTCAAATCAATATATATACGTAGTAGTTTCATTTCAACACAATAATTTTAAATTGGTTGAAATGATTTCAGTTTGGTAAAAATAAGGTGAAAAAGAACAGCGTCTTCTAAGTGTGATTTAGGCATTGTTTAGTTCACCTTATTTTTACTTATTTCAGAAAAAATAAGTTACGATCATATCATCGTTTTATATGTAGTTTTTTATCGCTAATTATCTTTAATTTTGTAATGAAAAAATTATGAAAATCACATATTAATAAAATACACATTATTACAAATCTAAGAAGACCACACTTGATATATTTTTTTCCGTATAGATTATCGTATATTTAAAGTCAAAGTTTTGTCAAATTTGACATTAAGATCAGATCAGACCGGAACAGATTACATGAGAAAAAATAAGGTGAACCAAACAAGCCCTTAGTTGCAAAAGAGTATCTCTCTAAAAACAAAAGTAAAAGCATAAAATCTTTGTCTAATTTATAATAGTTTCAAAATTAATTCTTTTATATTATAAAAGCATTTATTAATTTACACCATATGTTATTGAGGAGGGAAAAATGTAATTTTTTATTTGAAATAATATACTTCCATTTTAAAATAAAATAGCAATTATTTGATTTTGTCTATGGTAACAAAACATTAAGGAAAATGAGGTGACTTTCAACATTAATTAAATGAAAGATTGAAGAATTTTTGAAAAGATATGAATAGAAAGAAGAAATAATACTCCATAGTAAATAGATGCAAGAATAATGAATGATTATATTACAATAATAATAAAGCTAATTAATGTTTTAAAAAATTGAGGGTCCATACATAAAATCCTTGAAAGAATTTTCTCTTTAATTGGCCACCATGCTTTTCAATTAGCATGATGGACTCTATGGAGTGCATAAATTTTCAGTACTTTTAGGAAGGGTTCTTGTATGTCTCTTTATCAAGTGCTCAAAGTTAGGCCCTACATTAAACTAAAGTCAAGGTCCTACATCAAAATATGCATGAATAACTTTGTGCCACCTACAATGCTATCATTGCAAGACATCAATATTAGGCCTACAACTCAAGAAAAAAGTAGGTTGAATATTATTATTGTACATAAACATTTTTAGTATCTTGATTCATTTGATGTTTGTCTGAAATTATATTATTTGAACATATTTGAATTATACGGAGTAGTATTTTGTCTGAAGTTAAATGAATTTATCCAACCTTATTTGAACTTGTGAGAAATAACTTGAAGTGGAAATGAAGTAAACAAAACAAGATCTAAATTAGCCCTTTTATGACAATTTTTGTATACCTGAAAACAGGTTTTATCACACAATACATCGGTACTACTACTGTTGCACTTTATTTTCTCTGAAAGCTGGAACTTAAAGACCTTTAACTAGAAACACGATTGCTGATTAAATTTTGCAAATGATGCACGGCTCCAATTAATTTGCTATATAAATTTCCAGAATGTTATATGTTCACTGTTTTCTAACCTTCATCACATAGCTTGACATATATGAATTCAAATCACATCCAGATGCAGCATGTCTGACGGTCGCAGACTGTTAGCATTGAGATCAAGAAGACATAAAAATCAATGAACAGAAGAGAAGAAATGGGCAAAAGGAAGAAAAGTCAATGTAAGTTGAAGTTTTAATTCATATGTAATGATCAAAATCTAGATGTATGGATACTTGGATAGTATCCCATAAAACTTTCAGATGACCCAGATCATGGGAACAATGGTGCTCTATATAGAAACAACTCCTATGTATGTACAGCCTCAGTATTCTACTATCGGTGCAGCTAACAAAACAATTCCTCATACATCTACCAACTATGAACAAAAAAATAAGCATAAAAGAATCATACACCAGCACTTTGCTGTGTATATTGAAGGAACAAATGATGTGCATCTACTATTGCTTGGATTGGCTATGGCTACCACAAGTCCACAACGGACATTTACATTTATCTTGTTCGTTCTTGAAGCAACTTCAGTCCCATATATCTGGCAAAGAAATAGACACTATAGTCATTAAGAACATCACATAATAGTACAGAATCTATAAGCTTTGTTAATTAGTTTACAGCCACTTCACGTACCTGCCAAGCATCAAAAGGGTGGCTTGAGGATTAGTTCCTGGAGACACTGTTAATATTGAGCCATCAATGATTCTGAGCGCATTGACACCAATCACCCGAAGATCAGTGTCCACAACCTTCCCAACGACGCAGCCACCATGGTAATGCCATATAGTGCTCACAGTTCGGCGACAAAATTCACCCATTAGTGTGTCATCTGATTGGTCTGTAGGTAGTGCAGGTCCCAGAAATCTGAAGTCTCTACCTCCGGCCCATGTAAACTTAAAATCTTCCATGGACCTGGTTCTTAGAATATCCCCTATCTTACGCATGCCAACTATGCACAAATCCAGGTCTTTTGGGTCACTAAAATAGTTAAACCTGATGCTTGGATTGAGTCTAACATCAGTGGATGCTAGCCGAAGTGAACCAGATGAAACTGGACCAGAAATTTTCTCCATGATTGTGGCCACAGTAAGATAAAGAGGAGAAGATGGTGACCGTGCAAAAGCAGGATGGGTAAGGGCAGCAAAGGGGATTACATTTGATGCAGCTTCCAGGTACGCTCCTGATTCAGTGATGCCCACAACCTGAATAAGTGAATGTTCTAAAGGTGTTGGAGGCACAATTGATATTCCATTTCTTGGGTTGTCATAGAGAAATTGGCCCACATACGGTGAATGATGGGAAACTGGAATACCCCATGATGACAGGTATGGCCTTGAACCGATTCCACTGAGTAAAAGAAGCTGAGGACTCCCAATGGCTCCAGCTGAAAGAATAACCTCACCCTGACCACGCACCATTGCATGATGGTAATGCCCCCGTGTATCACGGTACACCACTCCGATTGCTGACAATTTTGAGCTGTCAGCTGGAGAAGATGTGGCAAGTATAATCCTCTCTACATTTGCATGGACAGCTACCTTTATATTTGAAGCTGTTCCATAATTCAAAAGGTCTGCAGCACTATGCCTTCGGCCAGAGCTATCGAATGTGGATCCACCAATTTTTGTTCCTAAAACATGTTCCAAACTGAAATCATTATATGGACTCACCCCAGCTTCCAACAGACCATCTCTTACAGAAGATTGCCAACTTCTTAAGTCAGGTCTGAACACAATAGCATTCTCCACCCATTCATACGACTGATTCACCATTCTCAAATCCCAAGAAAGGCCAGATTTGGCATAGAACTCTTGATCAGCTCTGCTGTAAAATCCAGCATTTACAACACTGCTTCCACCAAGAACCCGGCCACGAGTATTGGGCACACCCTCCTCTGAAGTAAATGCTTGTGCAGGAGAATCAAATGTATCGATCTCCAAAATAGTGGCCAAGAAGCCTTCTTGAGTCATCAAGTTTGGAATCCCATATGGCACTCCTCCTCTTTCCAGCAGCAGTACCTTATAATTCTGTGACAAGGTAGCTGCCAATGGACATCCAGCTGTTCCACCTCCAACAATGATATAATCATAATAATCTTCCACAGGGAATTCTGTAGCATTTGCAGTAAATCGAATATAGGCAGGAGCTACAGGGGACGATAAATTTAAATCAGAAAATTATGTACTGAAAGACCACTAAACCCTTTTCCATTGTAAGAATTATGCATACAAGCACTCAAAAATGTTATACGAATCTCTGATGAAAGTACTCAAGAAGTGTACTAAAAAAGTATAGCATACTACACAAGTACACAGCATAACAAATTGGCTAATTGAATGTCTTCATTATTCAGCTAAATGCAAATTGTTAAGCATTAAGTTTCTCGGTTTCTTTGTACAAGTTGTTGACAGGAAAAGGATGATCATATCTAACTCTATATGCATATCTTTATACATAGCAATGACTGCTTAGTCATTCCATCAATCTACCCTCCTAGTCCAGTTATGTTTTAGCATATACTCTAATGGACAGGCCAATTGATAACAGAATAATCGAAAAATGTAAGCTCAGAACATTATCTGATGTGACCGCAATTAAAATTTCACACAACAGACTGTAATTAATCGGTAAATAATTAGATATCTAAATCAAGGAGGAAACTGAGTTAGAAACTAAGATTATGGCTTGTAAGCCCATTCTGCTGCTAGGGTCAGATTTCTGAACCATCCAATAGTTTTTCCCATACATTTTAAAATTGTTAATCAGATCAATTGAAGTAAACTGCAAAAGAAATTGGCTAAAATTGCACAGAAAGTTAAACCTCTGTTAGTATATCAGAACTTTCGTACACTTTTTTCACAATCTTCATGACACTAAAACTTAATATTTTTCCGAAATCGAAAATTACACAATCAGTGATAAATTATAATTGCTGAATAATACGAAGTAATGATTACTTTTCTCCACAATTGTCATGTGGACAAACACTAATCTACCAATAGACCAAAAACCAAAACCTGAATTTTTTTAGAATTATGATTACCAAGCATATAAATAAGCAACATAACAGCTCGTTATAAGTCCTGAATTATACATGTTTCAATGTAATGCATCAACTACAACACTTAAACTAATTATAGCAAGCTAATACAGTAAGAAAATCGACAAAATTACTGAAAAATCTGAAAGCATAACAAGAATACGCAAGAAAAAGGGTACCCAAAATTGAAACCTAGAAATCTTGGAAACAAAAGAGTTTTTTCAGAAGCATTTCATCGAAAAGGTAGGGTGCATAAGCAAAATGGTGAAATTAAGGCATAAGCTGAGAATTTCAAAACATACCCTCTTGAGGTTGTGCACTGCTACACCCAAACAAAGTAAGGAAGATCAAAATTACGAGCAATCTACTGAAAATTTCGCCATAATACAATCTGGGTATCTCCAATTCCGCCATTTTCTTGTGAAATTCCTCAATTTCTTGGTGTTTTCTTGAAGAAGCGAGAAATGGGTATTAAAGAAAACGAATATGGGTACCCCAAATACGCAGCTATGGACTGTAGTGGGTGTCGCTAGAAATTCGGTTAGAAATTGGTTTTGGTGTAAGATTTTATAATGATTATGAAAAGAATTTTGTAATCTTAACCGTCTTTCGTATCATTGGTTTGTCTGTTTCAGTGCAATTAACCCGCGTTTTATAAGTGTTTTGAACTTCGTAGATTCTCCTTTGTTTTTTTTGGTTGTGAATGCCTGAATGGGGTCAATGGGTCATTCACCTAGTGAGGCCAACATATGCCACAACACGACACGACACAACTCGACCTGACATATAATAAAGAGGGAGCCCTAATTTTTTAATTAAGAAAAGGATCTTTCATATTAACAATAAATGTAATTTAAAGCTTACCAATGTTATTTATTTTATTTTATTTTTATTTTTTTGAAAAAACCCACACGGGGCACACTAAATAGATAAATCAGACGAAGCTAGTTCAACAATACAAGGAGGGATCTCACCATCCCAAACACGATAGCCAACCACTCAAGGTTGATAGTGGGCTAACGAATGAGCCACCTTATTACATCCTCGTTTAACAAACTCCCAAGAAACAAAAATAAAGCTATTACATAAATCTAAAATGTCATCAAGAATTAAATGAAAATGACTAGCTCCCTTCGTCTGATCTCGCAACGATCTAATAACAGTGAAGCAATCACTCTCAACTATTACCTCCTGCAAACCCAAGCTCCTTGATATGTCCAATTTATATAGTGTTTTACCCCCATCCCTTGGTCATAATTAGTGGTGTTTTTGGCTCTTTAGAACTACATTTATTACTAATTAGTGTTTTCAAGTGTTTTGGTAGTTTTGCTTGAGTTTTGTAGGAAATTGCACATTTGGAGCGTTTTCCGGGTTTTTCATGAAGCAACTACGAGCATTAGGAGGACACGACCATCTTTGAAGCCCAAGACCGGTTAGAGCCGGTGATTAAGGGCTCGGTATGTGATACCGGGGCAATTGGATCGAGTATTCAAGACTTGAAGAGGAAATCCGGATTGGGCCGAAGAATCGAGCCCAATCGAAGTCCAAGCCTCGAAGAAGAAGCTGGGCCCGATCGGGCAAGCTTGCGCCCGATCGGGCGGGCGCATACAAGAAGCATCAGCAAGAAGGCGCGCCCGATCGGGTGAGCGTAAGCTTGATCGGGCGCGGCGCACCAGGAAGAGCGAGGGAAAAAAGGCGGGCGCGATCGGGCGGCCCTTCCCCCGATCGTGCGCGTGTTTTTAGAAGACTTGATTGTCGAGATTTTTAGTTTTCAATTAGGATTTGTTTTAGGGATGTTTAAGTACGATTTTTGGACGTAATTTTGATTACCTTCTCTTTTAGATTTTCTCTCTCTACTTAGAATATTTTCTCTCTAAAATTCTCTCAACTTTGTTCTTAACTCCATTCCTTAATCCAGATTTCTTTTGGTAACAATTTCTTCTCTTTTAATTTTAGTTATTTTATTTAATTCTTTCATCATGTCTTGCTTTATAGTTTTGATTAGTTTAGATTTAATTTGTGATTGTTGATTATTAATGCTTGATTAATTTCCCATTGATTGATTTAATGCTATGCAATTAGGTTTGACCAGATTTAATTATATGAGTTTAGCAATATTAATTCGAGATTCGACAGATGAGAATTGATGTTTAGGCTTAGTTTCAACAGGCGGACTAATTTATAAATGGTTAAGTCGAGATTCGAGAGATGAGATTTAATACCGATAAATTAACTCTATGATTATAATACGTAGCGAAAGCCCTTTATAATTTGATTGATTGATGCATGATGATTGCTTATTATGATTTGCCCTGGAATATTGTTTATTAGTGAACCTATGCCCTAGGTTTTCCCTTCGTTGATTTATATCCCTTTTTATTCCCTTCTTACTTTTACCTTTAGTAGTTTAATTACTCTTTACAACAAATTTGGTTACTTGATAATCTAGATTGTTTCTAATTAATTAGGAATAAATTGATCTGTTTCCCTATGGTTTGACCTTTCTTCCCTATCTACATAGTTAGTGGATTTAGGTTTCATTTTTGATTAGGTGAATACGACTTAAGCCTGTCAAATTTTGGCGCTGTTGCCAGGGAGTCTTATTTTTATTCTCTAATTTTTTTTAGTCTAGATTATCCCCTCTTGTCTCAGAGAACGTTAGTTCTTTGAGGCAATTCTCATATTTGTCTTTTAGTTCCTTGTTTATGCCCAGGTGTTCCAGATCAGGTTACATTCCATTCGATCCTGAGATCGAGCGCTCGTTTCATAGGCAAAGGAATCTTTATAGACAAATTCTGGCGGGTTCTAAGGAAGATAACAATCGAAGAGACCCTCCCTCTGATTCTAGTGACACATAAATTCCTTCAAATTCAGAATCAGAGATGACGGCCCAAAAGAAGCTCAGTGACTACTTGCAGCCGAAGCTCACAGATTTTCCGCACCTTACTCCTACTGTGGCTCTTGATGGAGTTAAATTCGAAATCAAGCCCCAATTTATCACTATGATAGAGAGGAAGCACTCAGTGGAGCTAAGGGTGAAGATCCTAATCTTCACATTGCAGATTTCTGCCAATATTGTAACACCATTAGAGAAGCCGGGGTCACGCAGGACCAAATCAGGGAGATTCTTTTTCCCTTTTCATTATGTGGCAAATCTAAATCATGGTTTAATGGTTTGAATAGAACTGCACTTGGTATTAATGACTAGGAAACTCTTGCCTTGAATTTCTATAATAAATATTACCCTGCAGAGAGAAAAGCTGTACTAAGGAGTGCTATTTAGAACTTTGCTCAAGAGGCTGACAAAACTTTATACGAGGCTTGGGAGAGGTTCAAGGATCGACAGAGAGAATGCCCCCACCACAATCTAGCACAGTGGCAATTGATCCAAGCTTTCTACAATGGGCTTAGAAATTCATCTAGATCAGTTCTAAATTCTGCAACTAGTGGGAGATTCGTGAATTTAAATGTGGACGATGCCAGCCAGGTTATCGAAGATATGGCAATACACAATTCCCAATACGGAAATCCGAGAGGGTTTGCAAATAAAGGAAAGCATAATGTCGATTCCGTATCCTTTTTGCAAGCTCAATTAACATCTATTTGTCAAAAATTAGATAATCTCACTGCTACTCCTAACTCTGTAGCTAATGTTTCTGCTGTTGCTAACAATGAAGCTTTTTGTGAAAATTGTGGAATTGTAGGGCATTGGGAGCAAGATTGTAGGAGTTCCATGTAACAAGTTAATGCCTTCCAAACCTATAGGCAGAATAACCCATATTCCAACTCTTATAATCCTGGTTACCGGAACCATCCATATCTTTCGTACCAGAGTACCAATGTACAGAACCCTCCACCTCCACAACAGCAACCCCCACCACAGCAGAAATATTACCATCCAAATTATGGCCAGAAAAACCTAGCACAACCCTCATCATTTTCTGACCCTGCTATGACAGAAATTAGAGCAATGCTTACTAACATGCAAAAGCATATGGAGAGTAGGGATGCGCAAATTGATTCTATTTTAACCCACAATAAAATCATGGATAATCAAATTGCACAACTTTCATCTACCCTACAAACCCGTCAGCAGGGAGCTATACCATCGCAACCAATCCATCCCACAGATCATGCCAATGCGATCACTCTAAGGAGTGTTTCACATTACGATGGACCTCCTATGCCAAAGGATGATGGACCAGTTCCTGATCCAAATTCCTCTTTACCAAACGCTAATCCTGCTAACCCTGCAGGGCTACATACAAATACTAACCCTTCTAATGTTTCTTTGCAGGTGTAGGGAATATTTCAAGCATTATCCCAAACTTGAACCCCACTGTGATCATACACTAAAGTACGGTGGCGTCCAAATGGAAAGAAGATAGAGCAAAAGAGTTGCCAACAAGTTTTAGGAATTCGTAAACCGTTCACAGGGTGAAGGTTACACCCCTTAACGATCCAGGAGATCGTCAACTCCAATAGGTCTGGAACCATGACTGGTAGTTCGGGGATGAAGGTACAAATCCAACCTAAAAGAGATTGAACCTGCCCTAATAATAGACCTCTACTTTATTTTGATCGTATTCATGTGCGCTTTCTGACTAACATGCAATAACCAGGTTAACCCTAAACCTGTTTATCTATGTTGGTTGAATATTAATGCACAAATAAATATATTATTGGCGATCACTTGAATTATAATCAAATTAACCCTAAACAAGATTATAAATTATCTTATTAAGCATGATTACAAGTACCAATTCCCTTTAAACATGCATAAAAGACGTGATCAAGCAGTAACAATAATATATATCAAGCAACATAATAATAATCATCATAATAAAATTATAATAATAATAATATTCATAACCATAATCATGAATCATAAAAATAATCATAATCATAAATCATGTTAAAGCATAATAATAGCAAGATCCTAGGCATGATACTAACAAGATTAATAACAAACCCTAGCATGTCACTAAACAATAAAGATCAAATATATATCCCTAACATGATATTAACATGAATATTAGGAAAGAAAATAGGAAGCATCATAGAAATAATAATTGACATTATATTCTTTACCCTAAACATGATACTAGGAATTTATTATTGTCACCCTAAACATCAAATTAAGAAAAATATTAACATGATACTAGGAATCATAATAACAACCTAGACATGATTTCTATCATAATATTAATTAAACAATTAAAACACTTACTTGGATGTCTCGTACCTCTTTCTAATAACAAAATACACACGTTAGTAACTTCAAGGAAAATAATAATTAAAGCAATTAAATCAAATAACTGAAATAGAGATTTGGGACCAAACCCTCAGAAATTAAAACCTTTCACGTCTAGAGCAAAGACAACTTCGAATATGGCTAGGTGTATCTAAGTCTTGCGAATGCGGAATTTTGTATTTGAGAAAAGGCTAGTTTAGAAAAGAGAGAGAGAGAGAGAGTAATCAAGAATTTCTTGATGAGAATTGGTGACAAGAAAGAATTAGACAGAATAAGAATTGATGATTTAAAACGGAGCTTTTAGGAGGCTATTTATAGAGAAAATCAGCAAAAAAGATAGAAAATCAAACCAGAGTTTCAACGAGAATAAAACTCGATTAGCGCCAAACGCTGGTCATTAGCGCCTGGCGCTAAGGCGCCAAGTCTTAGCACCAAGTCCTAATGCTTAGCATCAAGCGCTAATAATGAGTTTCACACATTTTTGTTTTTATCATATATTTTGATCCGGAAGTCCAAATAAGGCATATAATATGTCGTTGGAAAGATCTTGTAGTATACTTTCCAACCAAATTAATATCAGATAAAAATATTTTGTAAATAAAAATATATAGACGAAATAGTGGAAGGGTGTCTGTTTTGGATAGAGTTTCATATCTAATTCATATCTTTTTTGTTATAGCTCGGATTTAATATTATAATATATAATTGGAAATATAATTTCAAGATCTATACAACCATATAAAATTTGGATAAAGATTATGAGGCACGAAAATAAAAACTGAATATATTCCACTTCGTACAAAACAAGGATTCTTAAAAGGAGTAGTTTTATTCAATTTCAAACTCTTTAAAACATAATTATCTATCCTAACTCCATTAGGATTTAAAAGAACCTTCTAGAGTATTCTATAAGACTGTAGTCAATCCTAATAGCTTAAGGAATGATAATTAATAATAGGCCCTCC